CAAGGGCCAACTGAGGTGTGGATTTATTAAAGAATATTTTTCAAGGGCCAACTGAGGCGTGGATTTATTAAAGAATATTTTTCAAGGGCCAACTGAGGCGTGGATTTATTAATGAATATTTTTCAAGGGCCAACTGAGGCGTGGATTTATTAAAGAATATTTTTCAAGGGCCAACTGAGGCGTGGATTTATTAAAGAATATTTTTCAAGGGCCAACTGAGGCGTGGATTTATTAAAGAATATTTTTCAAGGGCCAACTGAGGCGTGGATTTATTAAAGAATATTTTTCAAGGGCCAACTGAGGCGTGGATTTATTAAAGAATATTTTTCAAGGGCCAACTGAGGCGTGGATTTATTAAAGAATATTTTTCAAGGGCCAACTGAGGCGTGGATTTATTAAAGAATATTTTTCAAGGGCCAACTGAGGCGTGGATTTATTAAAGAATATTTTTCAAGGGCCAACTGAGGCGTGGATTTATTAAAGAATATTTTTCAAGGGCCAACTGAGGCGTGGATTTATTAAAGAATATTTTTCAAGGGCCAACTGAGGCGTGGATTTATTAAAGAATATTTTTCAAGGGCCAACTGAGGCGTGGATTTATTAAAGAATATTTTTCAAGGGCCAACTGAGGCGTGGATTTATTAAAGAATATTTTTCAAGGGCCAACTGAGGCGTGGATTTATTAAGAATAATTTATAATTTTAACAATTTTTTTTCATATTCGGATAATAGTGTTTTCTTTTTAATTCAATATATGTTTTATCTATTCCTGGATGATTGTTTTCAAATCGGTGGTGTCTATTTATTTTTCTAGGAGTTCTTCGTATCTAACATCTTGCAGAAATTTAGTTTTTAATATGATTTCAAATTGTTTTGTATTTAAAGGATTATCTTTTGTGGTTTTATATTTTTCCTGTAATTTCAAAAAAATTTTATCCTCACAATACAATGCTGAAAGATTATTTTCCATGGCTTCATTCAATATTCGTGATATTAATTCGTCGTCGAATGTTTCATAAGCGTATATTTTCCTATTTCTATCAAATATCCGTTCATGTGTCGTCTTATCGTCCTTGGAATTGTCAATTTTTATTTGGTTCTTGTAGTGCTGGAGAGGTTTCTCTGATATCTTAAAGAAATTATGGTCTTCTTCGTCAGCACTGTGTATTGTAGAAGTAGGTGAATGTGGTATTTTCTTTAAATGTTCATCTAAATGTTTCCTAAGCAGATTCTTCTTACTAAACATTTTATTACATATCTCACATTTATGTTTTCTTTTAGCTGTGATTGCATTAACTTCTCTAATTCTTGAGAGAGCATCAGCTACTTTATTATCCTTTCCTTCTACATGTTTGATGTCAAATTCGTAGTCATTTAGCCTTATTTTCCAACGGATTAGTTTGGAATTAGTCCTTAAGATTTGCCAGACATATAAGGGGTTTATGGTCGGTTCTTAGCTCGAATTTCCTACCGTAAAGATAATGTCTGAATTGCTTAACTGCCCAAACAATTGCAAGTAATTCTTTTTCAACCGTGGAATAATTAATCTCATGACGGTTTAAAGTGCGTGAAGCAAATGCTATTGGTCCATTGCTTTGTGACAGGACGGCTCCTAATGCATAATTACTAGCATCGGTAGTCAGAGTAAAATTCTTTTAAAAATCCGGGTATTGAAGTACCATATCGGACATCAGAATCTGTTGTAACTTGTTAAATGCTTGTACATATTCAGTATCTTTAGTATTAATTTTTGCATCTTTTTTAAGTCTCATGGTCAAGGGTTTTGCAATTTTTGCATAACTTGGGATAAACTTTTTGTAGTAACCCGTTAATCCCAGAAAACTTTGTATTTCCTTAACATTTTTTGGTACGGGGAACTCCTTAATACATCTTATTTTATTCTGGTTTGGTTTTATCCCATTAGTAGTCACTACATGTCCTAAAAATTCAGTCTCTTTTTTCAAAAAGTCTGATTTATTTAAGGATACTTTTAGATTTGCAACTTCTAATGTTTCCAAAACTTTTCCCAAGTTTTCCATATTTGGTTGTACAATTCTCGACTGCCAATGTTGTTGTTGATAATGTGGCTGCATTATCCTTGGTTGCCAATGTTGCTGTTGTTGGTAATGTGGCTGCATTATTTTTGGTTGCCAATGTTGTTGTTGGTGGTAATGTGGCTGCATTATTTTTAGTTGCCAATTCTGTTGTTGCTGTTGGGAACTTGATTGTGGTTTGTCCTGCTTCTTTTCGTTGTTCAGGAATCCCGCAGAGCTCAATTCATGCCAAGCTTCCTCCATACTTTCTGGTTTTAATGCGCATAATACAGTCCTCATATGGATTGGAAGACGTGTTATAAAAGTCTTCAGACCAGTTTGGATATTCCTATCCACTTCATCCAATCGATTCTCTTGACCACATTTTTGGTTAAGAATTGCTAGTTTGTGTTGGATGTGGTTGTAGAAATCCGTAGTATCTCCTTTATACTGCGTAGCTCTAAGTTCCTGATATAATTGGTCCACAGTGGCAAAGCCACCAAAGTTGGTATTTAGCATCGCTTTTATGTCAGTCCAAAGGGTCAAATGGGGATGAACCTCCATTGCTCTTCTGGCTTTTCCAGTTAGTTTTGATTTTACGATGTTCATACACATTCTTTGAGCTTGTTCGTTGTATAACATAAATGTAGGAATTATGTCATCTACATTTGTTATGAATGTTGTGAGGTCTTCCTTCTTCCCATCAAATTCCCTTAATTTTTCAATATATGTAAGGGGATTGATGTCTAGCGTACGTAATTGTATATTGTTTTGCGCTGGGTTAAGGGCTGGTTGATTTGCGTTATTCATTTTGTTTCAATTTTTTATAATCTTATTAATGTTCCAAATTTCACTTCGTTGCTATTTTTTGGCCATTTGTAAGACTTTTAATGTTTTTTTTCTCTAATGTTTTACCACTTTCACTTTTTAAGTTTCGTAATTATTTCTTATATTGTAATTATTTGCTTTCTTATATTAACAATTTGTTAATCTTGATTAATTTGTTATTAATATTGATCTACGCGACACTTAAATCACGTAATCTTTGTAGATTTACAATTTCTTGTAATCTACAAAGAATCTTTATTTTGTATTGAATTTTTATACAATTTTTGAATTACTCTAAAATTAACTAAATATGTATAATCAGCATTATTCTTCAGCCCGTAACCCATGCATTGTGAAACCATTCGAGTTGTTTCTTTATTTGGGTTACTGTCCTGCATACACAACAAAAAACAATAATTAAGTTTAGGTCAGCTATTTGCTGACAATAACATTGTGATTAAAAACAATAATTTAGTTTAGGTCAGTTCTTTGCTGACAATAATAATAATAATTTGACTAAATGATAATAACAATATGATTGAATGATAATATGATTAAATCAATATGTTCTTTTTGAACATTCTCCCCCACGTTGAACGAGACAAGTTCAAGAAACTGCAGCGTCGATGAAATATGATGACGGCAGTGATTGGCGAGGGGTTGGTACAGGATTGCTGTTGTTGTTGCTGGTCGTCGAGAAAAGTGTCTTTATTTGGTTTGTCACAACTGTGCGCCAATTGCCAGCCATTGGACACGCACACACTTAAATACATACAGAGACGCGCACATACACACGGAGGATTAACAATGTCACAGCACACTGCAGCATTGGCTATGTTAGTTTTTTTTAAGTTTCGACAGTCACAGTTGTAGAACAAACGAAACGAACGTACGAGCGAAAGTAAATTTTGTTGAGTTTTTAAGAACAACAGCTTTTATATTTATTCCTGCGATCGATGACCACTCTTTCAGGATTTTCGGCAGATTCTCGTCCGGTGATTTTATCCAAAATTGCTTCAGCTAATTCGCAGAATGCATTTTCAATGTTGATATTTGATTTACAGCCTTATTCTGGATGTCAATTCCACGTGAATTTACTCGCTCTTCCCCTTCTTCTTATTCTGAACAACATTTTTGTGTGAATTTTTTCGCATTCTCGCTTTCGCCTTATTCTGAATAAAGTTCGAAAGCGAAAAAATCCGCTTTGGGGAAAAATTAGGTATTCTGGATTACAGGGAGTAGGAGAATGAGATGAAATTTTGTGCGAATTGTTTCGCTAATAAATTCAAAGTGAGTTGACTACAAAAACATAAGTAATAAATATTTTTATGAAAAATATTAACACAATACTTATTCTATGACGATTTAGAATATTATAAATGATAGTAAGCAAATATTTATCTGGAAAACAGCAAATAAAATGCATTTGGAAATCCTATTGATAATGATGCATGCTGAACCTAATATTGCCAAGGAATGTATAAAGGTAATAATGAATATTTAGGTCGAGTTTGATGCATTTTGGAGGCGAAAAACAGACATTTTGGGTGAGGATCTGTATCTCAAGAAAACAATTATAGAAAAACCAAATTTGCATAATAAGCCGCTTAACAGTGAAAAACTTAAATAAAAATTATAAAACAAAAAAAAAAAAATACAAAAAATATTTTTTTTTTAATTATCGTTTGCATTATTTGAAGGAAGAAATAAAGGAGTAGGAGCATAACAGGCCACTTTAAGAATTTGGAGAGATAAAATGTCGAAATTAAATAAAAAAGCACACAATTATGTGCCTGTGTTTTTCCCATCATAAAAAGATGTTCTTTTATTTGTAATCTATTGTAGTTGGGATGGGAGATTTCTAGATGGGAGATTTCCCATGATTTGATTATATAACATTGGTTTTGCACGGATACACCTCACACAGTTTTGTACAATATTCCGTGCCATCGTCTTCCCTTTTATGATCCAAAACCTCTGTCTCGATGATGCCAGTAGTAATTGTGATCCACAATGCTTGTTCTTCCTATGAATCAGATCCAAGATCAGCTTAACAATAGGATCGTTGTATGGTAGCAACATTGGGTGCTTAGCGTCATATGCTAAGGTTGATTGTTCCAACCTTCCACCAACCCTTAATATCCCCTTGTCGTCCAAAAACGGAGTTAAACTGTGTATTGAACTGGATTTGTCCAATGCACCATGTTTCTTCAATTGCTGCACTTCTTTCGCGAAGTCTGATATCTGAATCTTTTTTACTATCAGTTGCATAGCATGATCTAATTCTGCCGGGGTCAACACTTCTGTCGAACCTCCATACCTTTGTCGGTTCACTCTCTCGGTAAACCGTAAGACATAACCCACAACTCGCTGTAATCGGCTGAATGAATTTTTGTGGTTAATTCCATAGATTATATTTTGCAACACAGCTGCACACAGTTCTAGCCTTGGCAACGTGACCTCCTTAATTGGTGCTATTTTCGACTTTGAACAAAGAAGCCGTACTATCTGCCTTCCGTCTTGCAACATAGCCCTGAGATATATCACCGCTCCATATGCCTTCCCTGAAGCATCCACAAATGTATGAATTTCAACCTTCGTCGGCTTCTCTCCGTCGAACATATGTCTGGGTAGTTTTAAATCGTTCAAAGTTTAAGATTTTCACGGAACGATAACCAATATGCTGTCATCTCCGGTGGCAGCTCATCATCCCAAGCAATCTTATTCTTCCATAATTGTTGGATAAAAATCTTTGCTGCTGAGACTACAGGACCTGCAATTCCTAATGGGTCAAACAATCTTGCTAAATCGGAGGTGACCTTTCGCTTGGTAACAACTTCACATTCATCCACACCACTCTTTAAACAGAACCTGTCTACCTGAGGAATCCATGTCAATCCTAGAACCTTGATTGATGAGTTGTCGAAGTTGAGATCCACTTCTCTATCTTCCGGTGGAACTGCATGAAGGAGTTGTAAGTGGTTAGCACACCATTTTCGCAGTCTAAATCCTGCTTGCAACAATAAGTTATTTAGCTGCTTCTGGATCTCGATTGCCGTTACTAAACTGTCGGAACCGCACATGCCGTCGTCAACGTAGAAATTCTTTTGAAGTACTTGTGCACCCAATGGATATTTGTGTAGGTTCATATCTGCTAGTTTTTTCAGACACCTTGTAGCTAAGGGGCGCATGTTGTACCATATGTTAATGTATTTAACATGTAATGCTCAAGTTCCTTGTCCGGGGAATTTCTCCACACAATCAGTTGATATTTGCGGTCCCTCCTGTCGACCAGTACTTGTCTGTACATCTTCTCAATATCTGTTGTAAACACAAATCGCCTTGAACCTTTGGGCCTGAATGCAACACGTTATTAAGTGACCATCCAGATGAGGACTTGCAGGATGCATCGAACACGACTCTCAGTTTAGCTGTGCTACTATCTGGGCGAAGGACACAATGGTGTGGGATATAGTAGTGGCTGCCGCGCACCTCTCTCGATTGTATTTTTGTCATATGTCCCAGCTCTTCATACTCCTTCATAAATTTGACGTATTGCTCTCGAAGACTCGCATCCTTCGATAAGCGCCGCTCCAATGAGAATAATCTGGACGTTGCAATATTGAGGGACTCGGATAGTTTATCTGCATCATCTGCAAATGGCAATCGTACAACAAAACGACCATCTTCATTGACTATTGTATTTTGGTGGAAGTGATTTTCACACCTTTCATCTGCTAGGGTCACTTTCTGATCTTCGCCTACATCATCTTGTTCCCAAAACTTTTTTAATAATTCTTCCAATGGCCGATCATCCTCTCCGAATACTGCACACGTGGTTGTTTCTGATTTTGCATTGACCTTTCCACTAGCAATCCAGCCCAGTTTCGAGTTTTTCAATATCGGTAACTCTTTGGACATACGAATCTCTTGTGACAAAATCAGATTGAAGTAAAATTCTGCGCCAAGCAGTACGTCTATTTTGCTTGTATTGTAAAAGTATGGATCTGCTAATTTCATATTTTCCGGTATAGGCCATGATGACACGTCGATGTCTGTGTTTGGTTGTGGTGGAACTATGTTTGGTAACACAAATGCTTCCAGCCGCGTCCGAAAACTGCTTGTTAGCGACTGAAGCTCCAGGTTTACTCTTTGATTAGAATTTTTTGCTCTTCCACCAACACCTTCGATGCAGAGAGACGCTTCTATGGGCGCAATGCCCAACCTCTGCACTTATCGCTCTGATACGATGTTAATCTGTGAGCCGGAATCCAAAATAGCTTTAAACTCGCAAGACCTTCCGTTATTGGCCTTGATGGAAACCCTCGCGGTTGCTAGAAGGACATAGGACTGGCTCCTGTTTGCCGACGCCACTGTCTGTGGCTGTTGAGGTGACAGCACTGGTGTACTGCCCCCTGCTGCATCTTTCGTGGTGAAATGTAACAGGGTATTGCTTTTTGTTGGTGGTGTTTGATTTGAAACCTTCGGTGATGGTTGAGACTTTTTTGGCAAATGTAGCAATGTATTGTGCTTATTACTACATATTTTGCAGTTGCCAGAAAAACAAATTTTTGCTACATGGTCCGATTTGAAACAATTTACACACAATTTTTGTTGCTGTATCTTTCTGTGTGAACCTTCTGTGATTGCCAATAACTTCTTACAATGATAAATTGGATGGGAGTCGTTCTTGCATAGTTTACAACTCCTGTGATCCTCCACTGATATTACGGACGAAACGGTTTTGATTGAACCCTTGTGAGTAGATGCCGCTTTTCCAATCGATTCCATTGACTCAAATTGTAGTTCCAAAAATGCAAATAGCTCTTTCATAGTAGGAACTTCCTTCGGATTCGTCAGTGATTGGATGAATCGTATGTACAGCGCGTGATCCAATTTCTTTGTGATCAATTGAATCAATAGAGCATCCCAAGACGTAGTGTCGATTTGAAGATTGTTGAGGGCTAGCATGCATTCCTTTGTAGTGTCATGCAGAGCCTTGATGGAAGCCGTTGATTAGGTTCCATTTGGTTGACTCAGAATCCGTTCTAGTAGAGTGGAAACGAGAACCCGTTTATTGTTATAACGTTCTTGCAGCAACATCCATGCCGTTTTGTAATTATCCTCTGTCAAGGATAGATGGCTGATTAGTTTGCCATCCTCGCCAGATAAATTGGTTTTGAGATATCACATTTTTTGAACACTTGGAAGAGACTGTTTGTCTACCATCTCCAAGAAAAGTTCATAGAACTGACGCCACTTCAAACAATCCTCATTGAATTGAGGAATTGTTACCTTTGGTAGTGGGAGTGAACTGTGTGCTATAATGTCACTCCCCAGTTGAGGTGCAATGATCACGGTTTCGCTGCATTTGTCTTTCAAGACTGCTAGTTTTATTAAGTTATCTTGTACCGAATCTTCCAGCAGATCGTAGTTTTCTTGACTCAATCCAATTTTCGATGGATCTTCAATCTGCTGCAATATTTCATCGTAGAGCTCCGTTATTTGATTCCATAGCTTCTTTATAGTATCTTTTTTGATGCTATAAAATTGCTTCGGCTGTTCCGCTTCGAGCGTGCCCAAGCCTTGCAAGTGACGACTAAGGGCACTCATTCGAGCATTTACCATTCTGGCAAGTCCATCAACACGGGAAGGTATTTTGTCTCCTGCGACAACTTCAGTCGATTTCTCTCTCAAGGTGAGAACAGGCTTACTTTTGGCAGACAGCAGTTTCTTCATTTCCGCGTCTATATATTCCATTGTTGAGCTGAACTTTTCTCCAATCGTTCTATATAGATTCCGAGCAATATACGGATCATCCTCTGACAAAGATGGATCATCGCGAATTCTGTTTTCTGCCTTCTCGAAACTCTGCCATAACAGCCTTAGTTCATCAAGTTTGCCTTCTTTATAGTAGAGACGAATTTTTCGAAATTACTGGCTCTTTCTTCCTGCTGAGAAATAAGCTCTTGGACGTTTGCCATTGCTGTCGATTGATGTATTAGCGCGTAGCAGCAGTTGTTGTATGATGATTAGTTACAGGCAATTTCTTCCTGTTGTTGTATGATGATTAGTTACAGGCAATTTCCTCCTGTTGTTCTTCCAAAGCTCAAAAGGGGGTTCCTGACATTTTTTGTTGTTTGTCGGGATCACGTCGGGGTCACCAAAAAATGATTAATTTGTTATTAATATTGATCTACGCGACACTTAAATCACGTAATCTTTGTAGTTTTACAATTTCTTGTAATCTACAAAGAATCTTTATTTTGTATTGAATATTTATACAATTTTTGAATTACTCTAAAATTAACTAAATATGTATAATCAGCATTATTCTTCAGCCCGTAACCCATGCATTGTGAAACCATTCGAGTTGTTTCTTTATTTGGGTTATTGTCCTGCATACACAACAAAAAACAATAATTAAGTTTAGGTCAGTTTTTTGCCGACAATAATAATGTGATTAAAAACAATAATTTAGTTTAGGTCAATTCTTTGCTGACAATAATAATAATTTGACTAAATGATAATAACAATATGATTGAATGATAATATGATTAAATCAATATGTTCTTTTTGAACAAATCTTAAAAATTTATTTCTCTCTTATTAGGATGTGATGTCCACTTTTAACTTTTCCTAATTAAACGTTCTTTGATTTTATTTATATTGTATTTTAATTTTAATTTTCCTTTTTTTAACGTAATTTTGTTAACTTGTTTCTTATTTACTATTCACTAAAATGTTTCTTTAATCACTAAGTTTATTGTCCCTTTCCGGAGGACTTATCCTTTTACATAGGATTTCCACTTTATTATTTTGTCCTGTTACGAAGGACTTATCCTTTTACGTAGGATTTTGTTTCACGGACTACCAAACGATCTTGGTAATCCTACCGACTGCGCCAATTTTAATCCTTCTTAATAGGATTGTGTTTTTTAAAAAAACTAAAGTGAGTTTTTCTTCCTTTAGCGAATCTCGCGTAACAAAATAAAACGTTAATTAAAGTTTGCTGCTAGAATAGAACTGAATCTTTATTTGTGAATATAAGTGCAATATACATAATTGTTTACTTTAATTTTAGATACATCGTATGATTATTGTAATATGATTATTCTACTGGTCTTTTGAATCGATCGTATAATTTGAAATACGATCGATTGTGTGATTTGCAAGAAGGGTGTGACTTTTTTTAAATGACAGATGGTACGATAATTGTAATATAAATATATTGCCAAGTCATTGGAACGGCATTTTGGTTTGGGTTATAACACTGTCGTGGTGGCTGCTGCTATCGAAGCGGGTGTATCCACCCTGTATTCTTGAATTGCTTCCTCAACTGCATCGACAACCTCTTGTTGTGTTGACAAACACGAAGGGTCTTCGTCTCCTCATGTTAGTAGTCAATTGGAGTCATGTGTAGACATCTAAACAGTGTGGCTGTTGATTTAGTGGCAGATATTTCGCTATTCCTCTTCGGGAGAAATTCAGCCATATCCAAGAGGATGCTGTTCAGCCTCTCGCAAATGTCATAAATTTTAGTCCTGGCGCCATGATCGTACAATCATCAGAATTCGTAACAATCTTTATGCCATCCCGTGGCGTGGAATTTCAGAAAGGTAGAGGTTAAACAGTTCCGGAGATATCAATCCTCATTTGAGAACTGAGCCATCCGTCGCGTTATGTGGTATCGAAAATACAATATGTGGTATCGAAATTAAACAGTTCCGGAGATATCAACCCTCATTGGGGAACTCCCTGCGCTGAGCCATCCGTCGCGTTTTGTGGTATCAAAAATACAAGAACCACAAGGAAACTAGAACATTAACGCTGGAAGTTGAAGTGTGCTGCGGGACAGGCAATCGAGGGAGGGAGGATTAATCGAGTACATTGGTTAGATGCACTACTGCAGACTCATCACGCTGCTTCAACATCACCATATAGATTCCACCACTTTGGATCTGTCACTTCAACGCCGTTAAACGAGACAGGCGTCCGATCATCCTTTCTGGGTTCTAGGGCGACTTAACCGTTGCCCAGAATTGACTCACTCCGAGGGAGTCTTACCAAAAAGAAATACACCAACTAATTTGTTGGATGTCCTTATTGCCACAGAATCATTTTGTTTTGTTTACCTCGGACCTTAATCCCATAGAACATTTGTGGAATTTATTGGAGCGTAAGATCCGTAAAAATAGCAAAAAATGTCAAATCGGTATTATGAAGGAATCGACCAAAATTACCGAATATAAAACATGCCAATTTGTCCAATCAATGCCAGGTATACCCCACAAGTTACTAAAATGTTGCATATGATATCACAACATCAATTTTCTCAACAATTTCCATGCATACGATTTTTATTTAATAAAATTATTTAAAAATATGAATAATTTAACTTGTAAAAATTGATTAAAAATTATTATATTTTTTAAAAATACTCTAACAGCAGCTACAGTTACGGTAGAGTGTATGGTCGAGCATGCCTGCTTAAGACCATGGCCCAAATATCAGGTCATCCAGGAGGCGAATTTGTAAAAAAATGCAACACTGAACCTATATTTAGTGTCAAAAAAATTGTTCTGAAGCGAATATAAATATTCAAATTTGGATAAAAAAACATTTTAAACATTAAAAAATAAAGTCTAACACACGTGAGCACATATACAGGAAGGAATAAGCTGTTGCTACCAACGTTTGGATGAGGAATGTATGCCCAACGAAGTTTATGAACGTTTGGATGAGTTCAGAGGGGTCTACGACCCGAGTCTTTCTCGTCCAACATCTGTCACCTCAGCCCTTCATATTAAAAGAATTGCAAATTCGAAAATTGTATATAAAAAATTATATAAATCTATTGTTATTGTCTATATATATATATATATATATATATATAACACCAAGTTAAGTTAAAATATTTTAATTTGCAGCATGAAAATTAAGATTTTTTACATATTATAATAGAAAAAAAGTTCATGGAGTATAATTAAACACAGATTTTCATAAAATTTAATCTGTACCGCTAGCAAACACTTGTTTATAAATTTGTTTTCAATAATTTTTTAAACCCATTATTTTTTGCATGGCTTTTTAACCTTTTATTCAAGTGTCGCACTCTAAAATATACGACATTTAAAGAAAAAATCTTTAAACTCCGGTATAGGAGGTGATGCAAATGTGGTATACCCATTTGTTTTTAGATTGCCAAATTTTTATTTTTTATCCGATTAAATTGAAATTTTGCACTTAACATGCTACATGTGTTGTCTTTCCATGTATCAATTTGAAAATAATATTATTCTAACAATTTAAGAGATATTTGAGAAAATATTAGAAATTCCATAAAAATCGATTTTAAAAAAAGTGCAGGTAATGTGGTATACCACATGATGTTAATGTGGTATAGTATAATTTTCACTTCCAATTTATATATTATAGAATTTATTGTTTTTAATGAATGCGAATTAGCTCGAGATTTATGTCTGTTAAGATTTTTAACGGATACGTTGAGTGGAACTTAAATTTTTATTATATAATAATGTCTACACATGTCAATATTTAATTTTTGTATGGAGAAGTTGTTAAAACTCATAGCCTTTGTTTTTCATCCTTGTGATTCATGGTAGACTCTCGTAGAGTACAAATTTTTCACATAGTAATGAGATTTTGTCTAGTGCTGGCCTTTTTTCATGCAGAATCAAGGTATACCACATTACCTACACTTGTGTTTACTGAAGAAATGTCTAGTTTTTTTCCAAATTGGTGATTATGTGGTGCAATCGCGCATATTATTTGATTTTTAGTTCATACTGATTATTTTAATGCTTTAGTAATAACGATTAAAGTACATCCGTAAAACAAAAAATTATTTTTAAACTTCAACCGAAAAAAAGTCAATTTCATGAAAAATTTTATTTTTGGTACTGATTCTCAATGTGATTTAAATAAATTAAACAGGTCATTGCTATCTTATTTTTTTGAGAACAGCAAACTATAGAACATGTTTTAGTTATTCTAAAATTTTCAGTTTACAAAAAAGTGACTATACCACATTACCAACCTATACCACATTTGCATCACTTCCACTAAATGTATGTTTCCATCATTTTAATGCGTGGAAGGACGAATTATGATGGTTTTGTTAATTTTCCCTTGGATACCTGATCCACCCACGTAAACGAATTTGAATGACATTTATATTCAAGATTGAGTTTTCATATCATATATCCCGAGATATACACTAATGCATCCTCTTGAAGAATACAACTGTCATTCAAATCCGTTTCACGCGTATCTGGAATATCTTCATTCCTTGTCACTATCACAACCGTAGTTTTATATCTGTGGCAGTCCATCACTAAAAGATGTATCCAATTTGAAAGTTGGATGTTGTCAAAAGCAAATTTATGAAAAAATTGGAAACACATGTCTGCATGAGACTACCTTGTATAGTTCTGCCATGGATGGTATAATAATATAACAGCCCTACCTAAAATTCAACTAGGGCGTTCGACGTTATTCACCACAAAAGTAAAATACTGTTACGAATATAACTTTAGATTTAAGTTAATTTAGATGAATTCCGTTAATTTAAGAATTTGAATTGTAACGTAAATTTCTACTACGCAGTTTATTTGAATAACTTCACAACAACAACCACTGTATAGATTTTTCTACATCCTTCCATTTCCTCTTTCATTTTCTATTTTGTTATTGTCGTACAATTCTTGTTAAACGTCATTCCTCTTTCTTTGTTATTCCCTCGCCTGTATATGTGTTGTTGTTATTCCTCTTTCTTTGTTATTCCCTCGCCTGTATATGTGTTGTTGTTATTCCTCTTTCTTTGTTATTCCCTCGCCTGTATATGTGTTGTTGTTATCGTAAGTTTGTTTACTCAAGTTTGTTGTTGTTATTGTTCACCCAGTAAGTTTGTTGTTGTTATTGTTACTCAATGAGTTTGTTGCATTGGTAGATTGTTCGTGATCTAGGTGTTACCAGATCGTCTAGAAACTTCTGTAGCGACAGGCAGGGCTCATATAAATAGAGGGAATGGAAAGGCAGTGAGTCAGTTGTGAATCAGATCGCGAATTGAAACCGTCGTGTAAAGTAAAGTGCAAAGTAAAGTTGTGTGAATAAAGTCATTGTAATAATCGTAATCTGAAAGAACCCGCGTTTTATTTGGTACGAATTGTATCGGGAAATAAAACAACGTCTACACGGGATTTAGTAAAATCCAAGAACGTAACAATTGGTGTCAGAAGTGGGATTACGATAATACTACGATGAAGTTTAAGGATCTACGAGTGGAAGACTTGAAGAAGGAGCTGAATAAATTGGAATTGTCCTCTACTGGCAACAAGGCTGAGCTACAAAAACGTCTGTTGGATGAGTTCGGGCGCCGTGGTATGAACATCGATACATATGAGTTTGACAGTAAGGATGAAGTGGATTTATCGGAAATTAGCGAATCCAACGGTGGGGAAGCCTCGTCAGTAGCTGCCAGGGGTGACGATTTAAGAGAAATGCTGGCTAAAATGTTTGAGGAAAATTACAGAAGGAGCGAGGAAAATTCGAGAAGAATGATGGATAAACTCGAGAACATTACAGAAGTTATTGGAAGGAGAGTGGAAACCGTGGAGGTCCAA